TTCGTTTGCTTTATCTTTCAGTTATCGCTTTTGGTTGGTGCAAAATTTCCAAAGTGGGCCTATCACTCCATCTTTTACCAATTTTGTCTGCTGCAGGTGGGTTGTGGGCCCAATAACCGCTAATTTAAACTGCCCTTTCTCAGAACTTGAACGTTCTCACCTTCTCTCTTTCCATTTTCTACGAAAACAGATTTGATCAACCAGTCTACATAGTTATTTTATTAATTTAATCTTGTCGAAGTCACAAATATCACATTTATGCTACGTGGGCATAAATGTTGACATATTTATTTACACCGGTGTGAGTCGACAGATTTTTGTAAATTGATCTTGAGACAACATTTTCCAATCAACTGTCAAATTTTTGATATATAAGGGGTGTCAATCAAGATATACACTTTATGTGTACAAGTAGTTTAATCCTTTAATATATATCTAATAAACATAAATTTGACACTTTCTACATATCGTCTATTCAAGAGATTGCACCCACAATGACTAACATAGACTATGCGAAACAATTAACCCAAAAAAAAAAAAAAATTTTTGACAAATTAGTCATTTAAGTCCAAGTGCCATTCCTTTGTACCGTGGCCGAGAAATCTCTATTCGAAAGACCATTCCAATCGCGTAACTATTTCGAATCTTAGGATTGATCAAGATAAGACTAATTCGACTGGATTACATTTCACTTGAATTCCTCAACGTTTATTCCTATTTTTATTCACATTCAAGTATTGAGTATTATTATTTATTATCAGTGATGATCATCATTCTAGACGACATTGACTCTCTTGAATCATTGCTAATCATCGTTGACGATACATAACAATACTCTAATGTATTTTACATTATCATAGTTTAGTTAAGAAAAATACCACATTTTTTATATATTAAAAGTGGTTATGTAACGGAATTTCTTGTTTTTAACGGAAAAACTAACGGAATTTGTTGTTTTAACGGACTATGTAACGAAATTTCTTGTTTTAAACAGGTAGCTGGACATTTCTTCAATGTTTTTATCATCACTTTGTATTCCGATATCCGATTGAAGCGATTCAAAATGCGTTGGAAAGCTAACTCATCTGGCTACAACTTTGATTCAGACATCATTCTCCAATTCGATCACTTTCTATGCCAAAAATAGGTCTCAATATGAGACTAAAACATCGGAGCATAACTTTTCGGTTGGAAATTGATTTGTGATCATCTTTTGACTAAATTTGATTCCATTGACGTCTTCCTTTATCCAATTGACTCCGAGCACTCTCAAATCTTCATCGTGAGGTTCGGCACAACTTTTAAGTATTTACA